AGTTTTGGGACCCAAGGTGGTGATGAGTTTCTCTTTGGTGCAGGCTCTAATATCCTTGACGAATTTGATCCCGATTTCTTCCAGTTTGTTCCCAATACTCCATGCAACGCCGGGCAGATCCGTAACTGTCAGATCGCCTAGAAAATCCAGGACCTCTTCTGGCTTAATCAGGTGTTGTCCTGCCGGTTTGGCCTTGCGTAGGGCGACTTTGGCAAGCAGGATATTACCGCCTATACCAACTGAGACGTCGCAGCCTGTCTTTTCTTTCACAGACGCACGTAACTCCTGTGCGAGACGCTGCGCAGCTTCTTGCTCACGGTATATTGAACTCTCCGAAAGACCCCTTCCATCCGACCCGCCGATCTTGAGACATTGCTCACTGACGTCCAGCAAAGCCTCATCTATACTGATACTCTGAACCACACCATCAACCTCCAGGATAGCATCGTAAAAGTGACGGCTGGCCTCTTCGTAGGCCTTGAAGTCATATGGTAGAATTTTGAGATCAGGGCACAGCCCCAAGGCAGACTTCATCCACATACCGTTCTTGATGCCGTATTTCCTAGCGGGATAGTTGCAACTCGCAATCTCGGACCCTGGTCCGCTACCATGTGCAATCACCACAGGTTTGTCAAGCAAGTGAGGATGTTTACGCAAGGATACAGCAGCGAAGAAGCTGTCGAAATCAACATGTAGGATGTATCTCCTTGCACCTGGTGCTCTTCTGAGTCTGCTTTTCTGGGAGGAAAGCTTCTCTTGGGTGCGGGCCTGCAGCTGTGCTTTTAGTTCTGCCTTCCAGGTGGATAGGTGATGCAACCTGGATTCGCGGTAGTACTGGTTGATGAAGTCAGGGTTCGCAGTACTCGATTTGGCCATATGAGGATTGGAGAGGAGAACAGCATTGTGCTCTTCGGCCGTCAACTGGCGCTTTTCAGGCTTTGGAAGGTCACCTAGTAGAGTGTTTGCTGGTTGAACCAGCTCAGGAGACTTTTGTTGGAGATTAGCAATGTCGTTTGTCGAAACCTCAGCGCCCCCGTCGAGATGGAATGCTGGAGCAATTCCAGGTGGTATGGCAACATCGCCATTCGTCTCCTGTTCATGTCCGCGGATGGGAATTGCGGAATCGACTTCTTTGTCAGAACTGGGGCCATTTGTCTGCTGAACTTGGGTTTTATAATCATTGATTCCAGTTGGATGCTGTTCTCCTGTGGAAAATTGAAAAGGGCTCGAACTTCTCTCGGTTTGATCCTTGTATCTGCTCTGTTGAGTATTGACCTGGCTGGTGATCTGACCACTCTCGAAACTCAACACCTTCTGGGTGACCCCTTCATCCACCAACCGATAGCCATCCCACGGTAACAGTTTCCCTGCCTGCACACTATCGACCACCCAGGCTGGCTTGACGATACGGTATCGCGCGAACTCGACCGTCTTCTTGGGAGTCAGATGGCTTGCAATAACGTGAGTGACGGCAGTCTTGCCATCGAGGTATTGAAGGAAACCGCCGCCATGAGAAACGATGAGGGTGTGTAGGTCGCGCAGCGAAGGCTGGGTGTAGCCATTAACATGGACGACAACGCCGCGGAAGATGGGTGGCTTGTCAGAGGAATTGGCGCGTATTTCGACATCTAGATTCTGTAGCTTGATCTTTTTCCTTCGCATATAGTCGGCGAAACCGCCAAACTTGGAGGCTTCATATTCCTCGCCTTGCTCGTCGCTGAAGGTGTGGCCTTCGATGCGCTTTCGCACCAGCGTCGAGTTCTTTTCTAGTCGGGAGCCCATGGTGGGCTAGGAGGTGTCATGATCGCCAAACGATCTGTCTAAGTATCGCGACCATCCCGTGAATGTATGACCATAACATGAGTGTGGACGGAGACACAGAGAGAGTTGAGTGGCGCGTGGAGCGAAGCAACGCGACAGGCGCAGGCAGACCTAACGCCGCTTTCACACCCCCCACTAGTGCCCAGTTCTTTGCCCAGTTCTTATCGATAAGCAAAATTTAAAAGGCTTGGCTGGGACTCGTTTCTGAGGCAGCGAAACTCCAAAGGCTCTCCAATTATTGTAAAGCTCTTTTTTTACTTTTTTTGTCTCTCTTCTTTTGCGCCTCACTTGAGTCTCACAAGATCGAACTCGGTCTTAAGTACTCTCTTTTTGGGACTATCCTATCCTGAAATCAATCTGACCTCATCGGTTCTTTGTTTTTGCCAGTCCTGCAGAAAGTGCACTGCCAACATGTCGGGCATTCAACCTGTGGCGCTCTACGCCATGAAAGTCCCTCCGGGGGACATCATGGTCCCTGCCGTCCCCGAGTTTGCTGCCATGGTATGTTTGATCACTGTCCAAATAGCAGGATATGTGTACTAATTGGCTTGCGCAGTTTCGTTTGACCATGGCCGCCATTGATCCCAGTGCTGAACCTGAACTGGACGATCCCGATGACAAGCGCCCGCCCCGAGCCACTCTCAAACTTATTCGCGTTCCGGACAGCATGCTTGACGATGATGACGATGATGAAGACGATGAGGATTACCTTGCTGGTCTCGACGATGATGAGGACGAAGACAGCGAAGAAGACGACGAGGATGACGAAGAAGTGAATGGCGGGCCGAGCGAGAAAAAGTCCAAAGCTGATGGGGCAGGCGAGGATGAAGATGAGGACGAAGATATGGAAGGATCAGATGACGACGAAGTCACCGCGGAGGATTTGGCAGCCATCGCGAAGCTAACCAAGCTCATGAAGAGCGCTAAAGCGAAAGGGAAAGCCAAAGCTTTGGACGGAGAGGACGATGCGGACGATGAAGAAGATGAAGATGACGAGGCCCTTGAGATGGACGAGGTTGTTGTCTGCACTCTCGATCCCGAAAAGGTAAGTCTCCGCCATTGAGGTGTGAGACATGGTCTAACGTCGATGACAGAACTGCCAACAAACTCTTGACTTTGTCGTCGGTGAAGGCGAGAAGATCTTTTTCAAGGTCTCTGGTGCATACACGGTCAATCTCACTGGCAACTACGTGATTCCTCAAGATGACGGCTCGGCGTCCCTCTACGATGAAGACGATGAGGATGACGAGGAAGACTATGACTTGTCCCCAGACGAGGACGAGCTAGATGCCCTCGAGGACGTCGACGAGGATTCTGACGCTCTCGATGATCTCGAAGACCCTCGCATCACCGAAGTTGATGAAGAGGAAGACAATGCGGCCATCAAGGGCAGCAAGCAGGCTGCGAAAGGCAAGAACAAACGACCTGCCGAAGATGACGAGGACGATGAGGAAGAGGACAACCTTGATGACATCGTTGCCAAGTCACTGAAGAAGGAGGAAGCCAAGGCAGCAGGATCCGAGAAACTCAGCAAAGCGGAGAAGAAGCGTCTCAAGAAACTCAAGAAGAACGATGGTGAAGCTGTCGCAGTCGGTGCCTCTGCCGAAAGCAAGAAGGAAGCCGCGCAGGCCAATGGCAGCTCTGAGAAGAAAGTCCAGTTCGCCAAGAATCTGGAGCAAGGACCGACTCCATCTGCGACGCCTGCCAAGTCTGACAGTAAGGACAAGTCAGGCACCGGCTCTGGCACATTGGGGGTGAAGGAGGTTCAAGGTGTCACCATCGATGACCGCAAGCTTGGTAGTGGCCCTGCCGCGAAGAAAGGGGCACGTCTGGAGATGCGCTACATTGGCAAGCTCGACAACGGCAAGGTCTTTGACAGCAACAAGTCTGGCAAGCCGTTCAGCTTCAAGCTGGGCGCCGGCGAAGTGATCAAGGGCTGGGACATTGGTCTCCAGGGAATTCAGGTCGGCGGAGAACGAAGATTGATCATCCCGGCGAACTTGGCATATGGAAACAAGGCCTTGCCGGGCATCCCCAAAAACAGCAAGCTGACATTTGACATCAAGTGCCTGGCTGTGAAATGAGGGCTGGCGTTGATGAAGCTTGAGCATGCGAAGCATTGCATGGATGGATAGCGAGCAGGCGACCACAACACTTTACAAGCGTTGTGTGAGCCGAGTATCTCAAAAAAAGTCGTGTTTTGGTGAGTGAGGTTTACGGAATCACAATCATACCAGGCGTTTCTTGGAGGAGGGATTCCGCAGGATCTGGACCGAAAGGACCCGAGCGAGAGAGGATCCAGGTTTCAAGCAAAAGATGACGAGCTCGTCGTGGCAACACGCGCGTGTGGCTCGGAAGTTATCTCTGGCTCTGTAGTTGTACATCAAGCTACAACGTAATAACACATGTGATAGAAAAAGGCGTTGCTCAGTCAGTCAGTCAGTCGGTCGGTCGGTCGGTCGGTCAGTTTCAATATCGATCAAATACAAAAAGTTTTGTCATAGAGTGTGATACTTCCACCACCGATACAAGAAAAGGTCAAGTAGATTAAGAAAGGGGAGTGTGGATGGATAGTACTTTAAGGAACATGTATGTATTTCTTGTCCCTCGTTTTACTTCGACTTCATTTCACTTCGTCTCATCTCATCTCATTTTCATCCCAGTTAATATCGTTCATTCCTCGTATATAATATAAAACCCAACTGGCTCGTTCTCGCTGCAATCTACGTAAAACCCAGGAGATATGAATGGTGAAATATGTGATATGATGTGAAAGTATCAAATCATGGCCGTCCCCTTTCCCCTCGCATGAAAGAAGGGAGGTAGGTAGGTAGGTAGGTAGGTAGGTAGATGGGGAAAAAAAAAAGACAAGGTCATTCAATGCAGTCAATCTGGTTCTGGTTCCCCTTTTGCGCCCGTTTTTTTGGTTTCAAAAGCCGAAAAACTAATAAAGTCAAAGACTCAAAGGTCAAGCAAGACACGTCGTTGGTGTCTGACCACAGAAGACACAAGGGATGAATGGTAAGTAGAGGAGAAGGGAGGGAGAGAGGTGGCGGAGGGATCAACAAAGTCCCTTCCTCTCCTTTAATGTCGTCCAGCCTTGCTTGTCCAGCTCTTCTTCTCCTTCTCCCTGCCCTTCTGGTCAAACAGACTCCTCCATCTTTTCTTTCCTTTTTTTTTCACCCGCGCAACCGACTCATCTGCGGATCAAACAGCGGCTCCGGCGTGACGGTGGCCCGGATCTTCTTGCCAAAGTACTCGATCTCGACGGCGGCGCCCTCGCCCACGTTGCCGGGAAGCCAGGCATACGCGATGGGTTTGCCGATGGTGTAGCCGAACGCAGCGCTGGTGATGTATCCGACGGGACGGCCGTCGTGGAAGACGGGTTCCTTGCCCAGCACGACGGAGCGGCCGTCGTCGACGGTGAGGCAGCGGAGGCGTTTTCTTTGGACCGCGGCGACCTCTGTCTTTTCTCCCTCCTCGTTCTTGGGAGGGGCACGGCCCTCGAGCGCCGTCTGGCCCACAAACCCCTGCTTGCCGGCCTTGACGGCGAACTCGACGCCGGCCTCCCAGGGGTCGTGCTCCGTGGTCATGTCGGTGCCCCACGAGCGGTAGCCCTTCTCGAGGCGCAGGGCGTTGAAGGCCGTGCGGCCCGCGGCGACGACCCCGTGCGCCTGGCCGGCCTGCCACAGGGCGTCCCACAGCCGCTGGCCGTTGTCGGCGCTGGCGTAGATCTCCCACCCCAGCTCGCCGACGTACGACAGCCGCATGGCCACGACGGGGATGCCCGCGACGCTGGCCCGCTTGACCCGGAAGTACCGCAGGCCCTTGTTGCTGAAGTCGTCGGGGCTGACGGCGCCGATGACCTCGCGCGCCCGCGGGCCCCAGAGTCCCACGCAGCACGTCCCGCCCGTGATCTCGCGCACGTGCGCCCACCGGCTGGGATCCTGCTGCGACTGCCGCCGCGCCTCGCGCGAGAAGTAGATCAGGTCGACGCGCCCGTTGACCCCGACCTGGAACAGCTCGTCGGCGAGCCGTGCCACCGTGATGTCGCTGCGGATCCCGCCCGCGCTGTCGAGGACGAGCGTGTACGTGACGGCGCCGGGTTTCTTGCCCACGTCCCCCGTCGTGAGCCGCTGGAGGAGGTCGACCGCACCGGGACCCACCACCTCCAGCCGCCGCAGCGGCGTCATGTCGTACATTGCCACGGCGGTGCGCGTCTTCCACGCCTCGACGGCCGCGATGGGCGAGTAGTACCGCGCGGACCAGGGGTCGCGCTCCACGGGCTTCCACTCGGGCGGGAGCTGGTCGATCAGCTTCGCGTTGGCCTCGAACCAGAACGGCCGCTCCCACGCCCCGGCCTCGAGGAAGTACGCGCCCAGCTCGCGCTGCCTGGCGTAGAACGGACTGACGCGCAGGTTTCGCGGCGACTCGCGCGGCTGCAGCGGGTGGAGGATGTCGTAGACCTCGACGAAGTTTTGTTGCGATGTCTCTTCGACGTACGCCCGCGTAAGCTGCACCTCTTCGAACCGACCCAGATCGCACTCGGCCAGGTCGACCGTGGACCGCCCTGTCGTCAGGATCTCGGCCACCGCGCGCGCCACCCCGGCAGAGTGTGTCACCCACACGGCCTCGGCGACGTAGAAGCCGTCCAGCGTGGGCGACTGGCCGACCAAGGGCCCGCCGTCTGGCGTGAAGGAGAAGATGCCGTTGAAGCCGTCGTCGATCTCGCTCTCCTTTAGCGCCGGGAGGAGTTCCCGCGACAGGTCCCATGCGGGCTTGAAGTCTTCGGTCGTAAACTCCATGCGGGACGGCATGTTCTTCTCATCGACGCCCTTGGAAGCGAGGGGTAGAGACGCCGCCACGACGGGCATGGGCCGGTGCGCGTACGAGCCAATCCCAAACTGCTCGCCGTGTTCGCGGTAGTAGAGGTCCTGGTCCTGGTAGCGCAGGATGGGGAGACTGGCTCCATTGGGTCGGGGATTTCGGCCTGCCTGCGCGGGCACGGGCGTCGTCTTTGCGTACTGATGCGCCAGGGGCAGCAGCGGGATCGACAGGCCGACCATAGCGCCCACCTCGACGCCCCAGAAGCCCGCGCACGAGACGACAATGTCGGCCGGTATGACTCCCTCGGGCGTGATCACCCCCGTGACGCGGTCGTTGCTCTGCTCGATCCCCGTCACCTGCGTGGAGCCCAGGTACCGCACGTCGGCCTTGCGAGTGCGGTCGATGAGCAGCTGGACCGCGCGCGCCGCCAGGGCCAGCCCGTCGGTCGGGATGAACAAGCCACCGAGCACGAGGTCCTTGTTCAGCAGGGGATACCGCTCGAGACACTCGTCTTTGCTGAGGAGGCGGGTGTCGACCCCCCAGGACGAGGCCCAGCCGTGTTTGCGCTTGAGCTCTTCGACACGTGCGGGCGTCGTGGCGATCTCCAAGCCGCCCACCTGGTTGAAGCAGCTCTGCCCGTCCTCCTGGAGCGAGAGCAGCTTTTCCACCGTGTACCGAGCAAACTGGGTCATTGTTTTGGAGGGGTTCGTCTGGAACACCAGGCCAGGAGCGTGAGACGTCGAGCCGCCGGGCATGTCGAGCGGGCCCTGCTCGATGACGGTGATGTCAGTCCAGCCGCGCGAGACGAGCTCGTCGGCGAGGTTGGTGCCCACGATGCCGGCGCCGATGATGGCGACGCGAGGCACGGGCGCCACGGTGATGGACCCCATGGTGAGAGGCCTAGATATCGTCTCGTTCTTCTGATGGGGATATTGACAATCTATTTCTTTTCTTCGCTCTTTCTTACCTCTCCCTCTCTCACTTAGTCACTCAAGTCATAGAACAAACATACATACAAAACACCCCAGGGGGGGTTCTTATTAGAGTAAAGAGAGCCGAAAGAACCCTTTGTACTTACGAGCCAGTCACTCCGTCAAGTGTCCTTTCCTATTCTGGCAATTCAATACCACACCCCGGCTTGCAGTGACGATCACCTGATCGGCGCCCGGCCGTTTCTCCCCCGGATACCGGACTCCGGATCTTGGATCGTGTTGAATGTGATAGCCTTATCAGTGGGAATCTTACGTGTTGTTCGCCTCGAGGAAGCGCTAAGGGGGACTACTCCGCGTACCGGGTGGGTGTTATCGCAAGCGACTTGTCTCAGCTATTCTGGTGTTCATCAGAAGGGCGTTCGTCTCCGCGGTGAGAATAATATTGGCTGAGGTTGAGGCTTCCGGATATGGCTAGCCTTGGGGATGCCGTTTGGGGTCAACTGCCGAGAGCGTCTCCGTTTCGCATCTGGACCATGAGGTTGAATGTATATATGTGTAGATTGACAATGTTCCAATGATGGAATGCAAGCCTCAAAAGGTCGCCGTGGATATAAAAAACCAGGCATATACTGTAGCAGAATCCCGATGTTGTAGACCAACCTCGTTTCCAATCCTGTATTGACGGTGGTGAAAGAACGACTGCGCGGGCATATTTTGTACTCCGTAATGCTGGCAAGAATGGCTTTCCGCCAATGGATGAAGAAGGATAGTGCAGACGAGACAGCTTATAAGAATCGGACAGAACAGAAGGGAGACGACGATCTATTTATTGTATACAGCGAGGCTAGAACGATCGGTATATAGCCTTGTATCCCTCTAGACACCCGCGCTGGATATGATGAAGTGGCGTCATGTGGAGATACACGCCAGGCCTGTTCCACGACTGACTGATTGAGTGAGGAAGTGAGGGAGCGAGGGAGAAAGGGTCGGCTCGTCCTGCAGCGATGCAGAAGTGCAGAGGTAGGTGGACTCGAATCGGGGACCCGCGGTGGCCTGTATCGACGGACGCCGTCGAAGTAGCCTCCCTACCGGGGCACGCAGCGACCTAACTCACGAGGATGGTGCAGACAAGGGTATATCATACATAATATAGGGCATATCATACCAGATCCCAGGAGGTAGGTCCTTGCATAGAACCGAGTGGAATGGAATGGGGTATATAGCAACGCCCAGCAATGAATTCCCCTCTATATCTCTTTCAGAAGCAGTCACATCATACAAGAGAATATAAAACCAGTATCGGAATAAAGCTGTATAGAGCACTCTGTATAGATCCGACTGTGAGAGGCGGTTCATCGTCCATCACAGGGTATGCATGAAGGTCCCCCGACCAATAACAAAATCCGGCGTATAAATACACAATCTCTTTCCGTCTTTCATCGGCAATACGCCAAAATATTCGTCTGACATCTGAGATACCTAGAACCAACCAAGAGAGAGTGTGTGTGTGCGTGGGTGTGTCTGATATCGCGGGGGACGTCGCTTGGACGAGGTAGGGGAGGAGATAAGATACGAGTAAACTCTCCTAATCGGGAATACCTCCGAAGTATTATTCCCCCCCTCCAATAATCTCGTTCGTATTGGTTGTCGATCCGTGGGTTGTTCTGTTCTGTCGCTTTAGTCTCCTGGTTTGTCGTGCTTGTGTGCTTGACTTGAAACTCAGTCAAATGCTCTTGCTCTACCTAGTACATAACTGGGAGGGTGTTTTTGGAGCGCGGCATACGGAGCCGAACAGGCCGTCCTTATTTCTTTCTTTCTAATCCAACTTGGGTCTTGTTATCCTCCCTCCTTCCTTCCCTCACGCTATTTGTGTGTTGGCGTCATGATTGTGAAGAGAAGGGGGTCTCCAGATCTTTAGGGAACCCCGGACGGATTAGATACCTCCGCGAGTGGTGGTGGTGCGTGAGACGGTCGCAGACCCTTACCGAATAGGATACATACCAAAGGGTAGATATGTACCACGGCCCGAATCCCGGATTGAGCGGGAGTACAAATTTGTCTGGTGATCGCTTCCAGGTTGCTTCCCCCCTTGCTTCCTTCCCCCTTTTTGACTATTTTCTGCTCTTTGCTCGGCATCCATCCCAGCCACTCGCTCGCTGACTTCTTTGACCACAACCCCTCAAGGAGAGACACACGTGTTGGTTGCATGCGCCGGCCATGTCGACGGGCCATTGTCCGTTGGGGTGTCATGAGGTCCTTTGGCCCACTTGACGTTGCTCGACGCACTCACTGCTGGCCAGCCCAGACATGGTGTCGTTTGCAAAACATGTCTTTCTCGTTCGTTCCTATTCCGACCATTTCGATTGATAATATCGAAGGTCGCACTAGTCTTCTTTCCACAAGAAAAGGAGTCTATCCAACGCAGACGGTCGAATCAGGATATTTGAATTTGTCAAAAAAACAACAACAACTCAATCACCCTCTAAGTTCCCAGGTCAGGTCATTTACGCCCCGTGAAACTCCTAGCTCGCAGCCCGCTTGCAACGCAACGCAACGCAAACAGCGTAGAGTTTCAACATCGACAGGGAAAAAAAATATGACAGCAGCAGTGTGACCGTGTCGCCTTCTGCCACGCTATGGGTTAGTCCCCGGGAGATCAGGCAGATGGGAACAGTAACCACCGGAGAAGCATACCTTGTGCTCTAGAACCAGTCTTTCCAAGAGTGACGAGACGCCGCGCTAAAAGTGATTGAACATGACGTTACCGATGTTTTCGACCTCCCACCATGCCGCAGCTCGAGCGTCGCCCATGGTGGACTGTGAGTCGTGGTAGCCCATATCCCCCATGCCCACGAACTGCGAAGGGTCTGCCCAGAGCCAGGGGGTAGTGTTCAACGTGAGGCTATCGGCCTGCTCGACGGATATCTCATTGCAGACATTCTTCTGTGTAGACTCTGGTGCGGACGAAACAGGCGCTCTGTATGACAATATCGGGGCATCTTGTCCTCCGTCGGCCGTGTTGACGCTGATTTCCGGCGAGGTGGCGACAATGATCTCCAGGGTCGAGCTCTCATCCGGGTATTTTTGTGGCATTGCCGGCGAGAGCGAGGCGTCGAGCAAACCGGCCGTCGGTGTTTCACGGGAGTCTGCCATACAGTTGAACTGGAGGATATCCCACATCAAGGGCACACTCAGGTAGATTTTGGAGGGCATCCAATCCTCAACGTCCATCGTCTCAGATCCGGCCGCAATCCGTGTCATCTTGTCCAGATTAGTGTCCTAGATTCTGTTAGTCCCGTCGTTAGTTGCCTTGTAAGGACATACCAAGGCTTTACAGGCCGGTGAAAAGGGCACAAAGCTCTTCAGAAACCTCCTGCACTTTGCAAAGTCCGTATTTGATTTGTGTTTCAGTCTGGAATCGGCCGCACAACAGTAATAGAGGTGCACCGTCGCCGCAATCGCAGCCACATGGCCAAAGAATGGATCGACCAGCGGCATTTGCTTATCCAGGACCATATCGATCATGCGCACAATCCAGGTCGAGTGTAACAGGGCCAGTTCGGAAGATCGCCTCCAGAATGTATTGGGGATTGCCAGGTTCGGATTGTGTTGTGCGCCGATAATGTACAGGAACGGGTGATTCAGGACCGTGGGGATTGCGTGGTAGTTGAACTGCTCCCTCAACCACGGCGCCCAATAGTCTCGGTTGACTTTCAGCTCTTCCACTTTGCGCTCGTAGAACTTGACCGAGTCGTAGCGGTGGCAAATGGGTATCCTGTTCTCGGTTTCCATGAAATCAGACAGCACCATGGCGTACATCGAGTCGTGTCGCCAGGGTTCTTTCCAGATATTGTGAGCACAGTTGGACACGTATTTTCTTACCCGGCTCCAGACCCATCCCAGCTGGACGCTTGTGTTCCAGATCCCCGGCTCGGTAGGTGTTGAACATCCCAGATCATCTCGGGGTAGAGGCGGGGCCTTTTGATCAACCTCCCTGTCTGGGCCCTGACCTCTGCCTCTTGAAGAATAGGATGGTCGCCATGTTTCTGTGGGGACGCTCAAAAGGCCATGTTGTCGGCCGAAAGACTGCTCGAGTAACTGGAGACTCCAGAACAGCCGTTTCTTGCGCTCCGTGGTCGCGTCCTCTACTGTGTATATGGACTCGAGGTCTAGCGTGGCCGAGCGACAGAGTTGAAAAGCAAGACCGACGTGAAATTGGCCCAGCGACATGTTTCCATCTGTCAAAGTGTCAGCAAGAGTGTTCGACAACTCAATCAGAGATGTGCATGCCTATGAAAAAGGAGTACGAAAGTAGACACAAACTCTCAATGGTTGTAAGGTCCACGGTCCCGTTGGCAATACGAAGCATGATCAAACTCCGTGCGTTTTTGCCGTAGCGCTGCATCTGGTCACATTTGGGAGGAAAGCGTGAAGTCAGAGCAAGGATACTGCAAGCGAGTTCTTCAGGGAGCGAGCTGTGATCTCCAATGTCTTCTCTCCCAAAGCACCAGATGGGTTGCTTGTGGCAGTACTTGAAGTACAGGTCGAGCCCAACAGCAATATCGGATGGGCGTGGCCGTGGATTTGCGTTGTCGGTGTCGAATTCGAGGGTTGAAGAAGGATGACTGGTAGGATAACTGGGTTCGCGTGCTGGGGGAGTTACTGAGTACGACTTCTCTGAGTAGTCGACGGTGTCTTCGAGTGTCTGTTCTTGACGTGCGGCATGATTCGGCCTAGATCACCTTGTCAGAAGGGTTGGGGGAAGAGCATGACTTGACTGCGGGTTGATTGTTCATACAAGCCACCACTCAACAAGAGATCTAGTTTCTCTTCCAGATGTGCCAATCTCTCCTCCTAAAAACGAGGTGTCAGTCAATCACCCCGTCGACAAGGGATTCGTGTAATGTACCGATCGGCCGTTTCGTGCCGTCCTGAGCACCGGGGCATAAGAGCATGGCTGCTTCAGACGGACGCAGCTAGAGCATGCGGGTTTCTCCCCTGGACAGCGAGTCTTCTTCCGCCTATAACACGATTGGCACACGAGATATCAAACAATCTCTCGGTAGAAATGACAGACCTGCAGGTGAGGCACGCATGGTGTGATCGTCTTCTTCCGTCAAACTTGGCCGTGGACTCGTCCATCGGGCTCATGTCGGACCACCTCGACCAGGAAGACCCAGACGGGACCTTACAGGTCTGGGAGAGAGGCAACTGATGAGGGATGCATGGATATGAGGGATGATTCCATTGTGTAGCAGGAGAAAAGGAGACAATAAGCCTTATCTTCTGTTGACGTTGACGTAGCGGACATGATCGTTAAGGTTAATTAATTACGAACCCGCGGCACCAACTGGGATTTTCCTGACACTAAATAACTCGCCACCTTGCCACGGGACCCCGCGCATCATCTTCTACTTCTTAAATCGATTGGCCCGGGGAGGCTGCGAGGGATTCATCTACGGAGATGCTGCTGGGATCATACCCGGCCAATCACTTGATCAACGCTTCGACGTCAGGACATCAAATACTCGTTAAATGCGCAATTCTAATACACGACCGACGCTAGACTAGAAAAGATGCTATTAACCCGCAACATCCAGCATGACACCATCATCGTTACACAGCAATGGGCTCCTTGTTGATCCGGCAACAATCCACTGCAGAACAGAAAGCAACGTCCTTCTGGCTGGTCACATCAGCCTTTGGTAGAGTCTGTCGAGCTGGCCAGATCTCTTCATGCGCCTCCGTCTCTCGCTTATGGTGGGCTTGCACCAGGTCACGCACTGACTTCTGGAAGAACAGCGGGCCCTTCTCCATCCGGGGATGTAACTCGCCATTGACAAAGACTCCCGCATTGAGATTCTTCTGGGTGTTGACGCAGAGGTACTTGTCCTCCGACATGATTCTCTTATAAATTTGGTTGACCAGTTCAAAGTCCTCATCACTAGAGTTTTTGTTCCTGTAGACTTCATATCTCATGGTGGACTTGACAGGGCCGCTAGGGACGAATCTCTGGATGAAGAAAAAGTGCGGCCTGGGAAAAGGGTCAGTGCGACGTCAAGTGGCTCGGGGAGTGATGGACTTACGAAACATTCAAGGATGCATTGGGGAAAAAGTAGGTGGCCGCCACCCGAAGACCCCGAGCAATCTGCTCTGGCGTAGGGTTGCCAAAGTGTTGAATGTGACCGCCCTTTGTCGCGACCCCATAAGAGCTGAGGTCCGCAATGGTCGGGATATCAGGATGGGTGGTCTTGCAGTGATAGCACTCATTGTAGTTGTCGGCCAGGATTTTCCAGTTATATTCACCTTCCATCTCCCAGCTGTGATCAAATTGGTACTCATCAAAGTTGTAGTGTTCGAACCTGGCTTGCTTGTCGACACCTTCAAAGTCGTCGTTCCAGGCGATTTCTGGCTTCGCACCGCCATCCAAGTTGACCCAGATAAACCCGTTGTGGTCAATGTGGGTATGGATAGGCAGGAGCCCGTTCTGAGATTTATCGAACCCTGGTAGGTCTTGATACTCTGGTGCTTTGGCTAGCTTGCCATTGAGGCCGTATGACCAGCCATGGTACTTGCAAGCAAAGATGTTGTTGTGACCCTTTTCCTCGGTCACGATAGGGAAAGCACGGTGGCGACAGACATTGTGGAAACCATTGATGTTCCCGTCGCGGTCTTGACAGAGAATGAACTGGAAACCAGCCACATCATATCGGAGCCAGTCGCCTGGGTTGGCCAGTCTCAGTTTGTGGGTGATGAGGAGCCATTTTCTAGAGAAAATTGCTCGTCTTTCCAATTCATACATTTCCTGAGAGGTGTACCATGAGGCCGGCAAAGCCCTGACGGGGGTCTTGTCGTCGTCCACTGGCGACGACCGCCCAAGGCCCAAGTAGTTTTTCAAGAACGATTGTGCCATGGTTTTGCAAGGACTAGAAGACTTAGAGAACTGGGCAACGATGAGGAATGAAGGACCAAGTTGGACATGATAATGGGGAAGCTTAAATCCAGATATGCTCCCTCCCTCCAGACGCCCCTCTGATGTCCTTATCGGAGACGGTGGCCGCCTTCGTCTCAACCACCTCCGTTAGACTGCTCAGGAATTCGAAACCAAAAGGGGTCAAGGCGGAATGCCGGTCATATGATCGGGGCATCGGGCCCGGCATAAGATATCAAACAGGAAGGGCAACCGCTGGCGGCAGCGGCGGAGAATTATTGGCAGATAAAGAACATGTGCCCATCGGAAGGGCCAGAACCTTCAGACGACCTTATCGATGCTCCTGACAACACATGCCGAAACTTGTCGACGCGTGCAACAGTGTGATCGGTCCCGGGTTCCTGACCTCCATGACTCACCGTGAGATCATTGGTTTCGTCACGAACAAGCTGATGTTCTAACCATGGTGGGTTCTGGAATCCTGACAATGGCACCCAATCTCGATGATATGCCGTGTTCTAGCCCAGGCACAGCAAGGGTCCACGATATGAAAGGAGATGATGATGACTGAGGCTCGGAGGGTGCGGGAGCTGGGCACCAACACCGAGTCCGTAGTTTGTGCCTCGTACAGTAAGCTTTAACTCTCATAAGAGTGTAGCTGTTTGATAAGCGCCGTCTCTTTGTTGAGCATAGCGGTGATGAAACCAGACTACTTGGTGTGTGCTTTGCTCCGATTGGAACGGGAAGTCAATTGGAGGACGATGAACAGAATATGAATGGAATTGAGTTTGTTGGATTGTGTCTGACTTTATAACCCAAGAAAACGACTTTGTGTCATTTCAAATGCTTGGCATTTAGGTACTCACGTGGTGTCATGTGATTAAATCTGTTCTTCCCCGTGACCCTTCAGCCTTGCCCTCGAGGCTCTCTCAGTGCTTTCTTACTCGCTGAAGATGGAAGATGCACCACTCACGACAGAGCTTCACATGTCTTTGGTGAGTTTAACGAGGCTGTGGAAAGGGGGCACCTTATATATGTAATTGCCAGAGAATGTCATCCATGACCCCTGACTACTCTCCCACTTCTCAACTGAAGGACTCGATGTGCTTTGGCTTGGTGAGCTTCAGGTAGTCTCTCTTTCCATTTAGGACCGTCCTGGATTGGAGGTCGTGCCACAGTCTAGAACAGATGTAAGGAGTACACAACACATCCCGGAAGCGAGAGGTGAAGAGCTAGACCCTCCCTCCACCCCATCTACGACACGCTCCTTCCATCTGGCACCGCTGTCCCAGCATGATGCTCTATCCAATTCAGTCCAGACGATCCCGCACGCCCCAGCTCATCATGTCCCGGCGCAGACGAGTAAGCTGCTCACCAACGACCATAGCTGAGCACCCCGGAGGAGCGGCGTCCAGCGCCGCAGTGGAGACCGAGATCCTACTTTCTCCAAGGAGGGTCTTGGTTTATTTGCGGACAGGACACCTAGTCTTTATGTAAATGCAATGCTCGGCTGCAGAGGACGCGTAGTTGTGGTCGTACAGGTAGTTGTACGGGTAGGTAAGCATGACTTGCCTGAAAGGGCGGGGGGACTTGGAAGGGCGTCCTTGTCTGATCCCGTACCATGTAAGATACGTACGCTACCATACCGAATTTCTGTTTATAATAGTTAGATTTCGTGGGTCGGTACATGAGAGGATATACTTGCATGTAGGATCCCAGGTGACCCCACCGCCCCGTCCAGCGATGGATGGGTACTGTTCGCTCTGGTAGAGTCTAGATCTATCGACTCAGCAACGACTTAAACTATGTAGTGACTCCATCCGTTCCAAATACGGTGTATAGGTAGGCACGAAGTCACCTCGACGGTCAAAGTAGGTCGAAATATACTTGCAGATCATGGATTCTGTCTATCCGGGGAACCTTCTGTAAGAGACAACCTGTTTGACAGTGCGTGAAGCCTTGCACAATCTATACTCGTGGAACCGTTATTGGCAGGGGGTCGATATTGACCCTTGAGATTGTCGACACATTTCATTCGGCAGATGTGATACGCTTCCAATTCCTCGATGAGAACGGGCCTCGTGAAAGTACCCTGGCTGGTGACTTGCTCGCTATATACAATCCAACCTGTTCTTCACGAGATCACTCGATGACTCCAATATATCTCGACGGCAGCAAACGATCATGGAATGACAAAGGGCAACGACATAAAGCTCATCCATGCATGCATTCATAAATACGCACTTTTTTGTTCTTAAATTCGCGGTCTCGTCGACGACATCCAACACCACCCGATTTCTATTACCGTACTCCCGAAAGACGCTCGCTCGTCCCCAAAGCCACACGAAATGGCTTTCAGGTAGATCTTGGAGCTTACAGCTTCGAAGTCCTGACCGGGTCCAGGAAATCCTTCATCTCCCACCGCGGGTAGTCCGGGTTGAGGGATGGGTCCGGCCGCTCGCGGTCCCAGGCCCATTTCTCGACCAGCTCCGGCGACAGGGATCCCTCGAGCATCTCGACGACGTATTTGCCCAGCACAGGGAAGAACTTGTAGCCGTGGAAGGAGCCGCAGGTCGCGAGGTATAGGCCCCTCGCCGCCGGGTGTGGCGAGATGATGAAGTCGGAGCTCGTGGTGAAGGCGTCCCTGCGTATTCCCACCCGAGGTTAGTTTGCCCAAATCTCAAGTCCATTTCTCAGTTGCTGTGTCGGGACTAGGTAGATACATAGGGAGGGGGCCAATTGGAGCGATGACAATGAACATACCAGCAAATACGATGCTTCTCCAGCGTCCAGTTGGCGCCGTTCTTGCCGTAAAACACCTTGTTCGCGTAATCGATGTCTTCCTTTAGCTTTCGGGACACGTTCCACTGGGCGTAGTCTGGTTGTGCGGGCGGTGCGGAAACCTGGCGCCCGGGAAGCACTTCGTGGGTGTTTTTGAAGATGGTCTGTCCCCACCACTTGATTTCTCTATCCGGGGTTGGCGGGAGACTGCCGATAAAAGGACCTTGTTGTGGCAGATTTGGTTAGTTAGATGGCTCAGAAAGGAGATAGATAAGTGGTGGCCCGTTACCAATCTGTGCAGTGTACCCTTGGACTCCCACGGGCATGTCTGCAAACCTCTTATAGGACTGGTCATCGAGTTTCGTCATCCCCGTGGTGATGCCGCCGGCGACAATCCTGCCTTCGGTGCGAAGATCCTTGAGGCCGGTGTCTGCCGCGCTCAGTTCCAGCAGCTTCGGCGTATATGCGCCTGTGCAAATGATAACATGCGAGGCTGTCAGGGTCTGTCCTCTTGCCGTCTTGACACCACGACAACGGCCTCCATTGTCCAGCTGCAAGCTCGTCACTTCGGCTGTCACATACTTCACACCGAGTTCGATAGCTTTGCGGGTGACAGCTCGCAAGGCATCTCCTGCAGCAGCCCAGCCACTGGTCTTGTTTACCAGGACCTCCTGGACGCCGTTGTAGTCAGCATCCTCGAACAAGCCCCCGTACAATTTCCGGGCCTCGTCAACGGACACAGCTCGAAGATCGGCGGCCCGACCGAGTTTCTTGTAGTTGTCGATAACTTCCTGTGCGTAGTTGCTGCGACACGTCCAGAAGATGCCCGTCTTGTGGAAATACGGCTGCCACAGCGGGTCCGTCTCGAAGATGTCTTGTGCCTCGAGAGCCAGTCGACAGTAGACTATGTCGTCGTAGTCGGCGCGCACCACCTTGTTCCAGTCCCACGAGGCAGCTACCCGGCTCTCTGCATCATAGGCGTCCCGGTCAACCAGCGTCACCGATGCTCCAGGGTACTTCTTGATCAGGTGATAGGCAGTGGATACTCCGAACACGCCAGCCCCGACGATGAGGTACGACTGCTTGCCGGACGTCATCTTGAACGTATGAACACTTTGTGCGATCTTCTTACTTCCAGCACCAAGGACTGTCTACACTTCTGGGGCGGTCAAGTTTATGAGAAGAATGGTTCTGTGGGATACTAAAGAGGCAAAACAAATGGTTATTATGCCCGTTTACAGAAAAGCTTGTTGTTCCCTGGCGGTCAAAAGGCGCGCCGATAGTATCGACATGTGGTGTGCCGATAAAACTCCGTCACGAGATCGGTGGGAGATGCCGCACGCCCGGCCACGTGACAAGGCGGTGTTCTCCTGAGGATGGGAGGAATGGAAGAGAAGGGGAGTTTCTAGCAAGGACATGAGACGAGATAACGAATGACACGGACTTATCGTCGAGGCTTGGATCTTGTGTCATATTTGTACATGCCAGACACTATTGTGAAGGCGGTGGTTACATTCGCAAAGTCCCAATGCTTCGTCAGAGACCACACCAGCTGATACGGGGTACCCACGCTCTGCGATAGATGATGGGATCTATATAGATGCAATCATGTTCCGTGTCCTGCGCCTTGCCGACACCGCTGACCGTGTCGCCCACATGTTGATGATGGTTATGTGGCGCAACGGTGTTCTCGTTCCGTGGGGAATGCCGGTTTCAACTCTCTTACCAGCAGAGAAGAATCAAAGGTCTCCTCAAGACATCGTGGGTGGTGCTCCCATAAACGCAGCGTTGTTGAAGCCATCTTCCTGCTTGACGGTGCCGTTGAGCAGAGGGCATAGTCTTGATAGTCAAACAATGTCAGTAATCGAACAATGGCCAGGGAAAGAGAGAATGAAATGTCCTTGGACCGGAATAGCGTCAAATGAGACACGGCGGGTGCCATTCCCACGTTAAAACCATTGTGAAGAGCCACCATTCTCAGACCAAAGTGAGCAAGAGAACGAGAAAGTTGACCTTCTCAATGTCATCAACCTGAGAAACCCGGCGCACTCATCCACAGCGATCCAACCTTGCGATCAATGGGGAGATTGCAATTTTTACACTTAGCATTCGTGACTGACTTTTTGTTGGTCTTGATGTGGCCCACCTGACCACAGTTGGCACACTTTCGCTGCGTAGGTTGTGTGTTGCGTCCGCCGCCA